CTGTTCACAAAAAAAGTTGCAATGAACTCTAAGTCAAAGGGATTAATTCATCTATGCTCATTCACCCAGCTGGAAAACCAAACCCACTGCCTTCAAGTCCAGACGGACTCAAAGCATCTCTACTTCTGGGGCTATAAGTCTTTATGGGGACAGACAGCCTCAACTTTCTACTGAGGAGCCGCTGCTGGGTTTGAACTGCTGGCCTGGGTTTAGCAGTCCAATTATATTCCCCTAGCAGAGCCAGCAAATTATATTCCCCTAACAGAGCCAGCAGGGCTCCCTTAGGCCGTCACAGCTTCCTATAAAGAAATATCCTAGTTCTAATCGTGGGATGAACAGGGGGCAGCTAACCCAAGGCCAGCAGTTCAAACCCGGAAGCTGCTTCACAAAAGAAAATAGAGGCTGTCTTTCCCATCAAGATTTACAGCCTCAAGAGACCCTATCTAGGGTCGCTATCGAGTGGATCAGAAATTCAAAACCACCCGCCAGTCCTCGGGTGAAAGACGAGGTTTTCTAACTCCTGCAAAAATTGACCTGACCAATAGGGTCGCTATGGGTCTGAATCAAGGCCTTGGCACCGAGTTTGGATTTTGGAGAGGTGGAGTCGACCTGATGGCAGTCGGTGGGCATGGCTTTGGTGATGAATTAATTAGCCAATACACCGAACTCACTGCCATGGGGTGCACAGAGGTGGTTTCAAATGCTGGCCTGGCAAACACGGGCTCTGGTGGTGCAGTGCGTCAGGCACTGGGTTACCAAGAGGCCAGAGGCTCAAACTCACCAGCCCATCGGCTGCACTGACAAGTCAGTGGGGCAGTCTACTCTCCTTCCCAGGGCCCATGGGTTGGAGTCCACTTGATGGCAGTGGGTTCACAATCCACAAATTACTGTCAGCACAACTCTGGCCTTCATTTTAAACAGCCTGGCTAACAGCCCTGGCTGGGTGGCGTCTGTCCCGCTCTCTCTGAGTTGAAGAGCGGTTGTTCACAGCACACAGAGAGACGGCACCTGCTATCGGGACGCCTCCTTGTTCATCATTCACTCTTCTCATTGACAAGCTCCTACCTGGAAGGAGTTCTGAACCCTACTATCAACATTTCTAAATAAGCCACACACAGCACTACCATCAGCCCCTGGGGAGGGGGAGGCGGGAGGCAAGTTAACTTGCTCCCTGTTAACCAGAAGGCTAGTGGGCTGAGTCCACCCAGGTGCCTCAGCATAAAGGCCTCGCTGTCCACAGTCAGAACCCTGGGGGTCCCGTGCTACTCATGGGTCCAGACGGGCTCCACACCGCTGCTGGCACCGGCGCTTGTGGTCGCTCAGCCAGACGGCGGCCCGTGCGGGCCCATCCTACCCCAGCCCGCTCCCTCTGTCCGTGGCTTACCTTCTCGGCGTCCTGCTCAAAGAGCCGCAGCTGGAAGCACTGGTCCAGCTTCAGCTTGCGGACGTGCCACATCTGGTGCAGGTGCTGCCGGGTGGAGTGCAGCCGGTCCAGCATGGTGGACACCCTGGGCAGCAGGTTCTGCAGGTCGGCATTGCCAGAGCCCGAGTTCTTTCTGGGGAAGCTGTCGCTGCTCTGTATCCTCTGCAGCAGCTTCTGCCCCTCCAGGTCCAGGTCCTCGATGGGCGCCTTGATGACCTTCCTCTTCAGCTGGGAGTGGTCCTCGATCATGGCGCGGGCCCCCTCCAGGTCCTGCGGCAGCTCCTTCTTGGCCAGGATGTCCTGCAGCTCCTCCAGGCGGGACAGCATGTGGGTGGCATTGCTGACGTAGTCCTCGAAGGCCACCCGGATCTCGATCCACTCCTCGTGGTTGTACTCCAGGCAGCCGTCGAACTCGGGCGTCAGCTGCGAGGGGTCCACGACCTTGGTGAGGCCCTCCAAGGACACCATGCTTGTCTTCGGGGAGGGAGGGAGGGGAAAGAGAACAAACCATGTGTCAGACGGCGGACCTGTTCCTTACCGTCGGGCGCCGAGGCCTCGACACAGGGTGTCCCCCATAAAACACAGCAGGGCTATTTATGGGAAGCACCTTGGGCCGGCCTTGGCCCCACGCAGTCAACGTAGATGGAAGGGCCATTGTCAGTGGAGCCGGTCAGGGAGCAAAACCCACAGGGGCCACGTGGCCCATGCTGAGACGCAGCCCTGGACTTGCTCGACCACCTCTTCTGGATGGGACCTAGAGGAGCCCTGCGCAGCACAGTATAGTGGTCACGTGTTAAGCTGCAATCGGCAAGGTAAGTAGTTCAAAACTACCAGTTGCTCCTGGGGAGAAAGATGGGGTTTTCTACTCCTGGGAAGAGTTACAGCGTCAGAAGCCCATGGGGGGCGTTCTACCCTGTCATTCTGGGTCCCGAGGAGTAAGCATCGACTCAGGGGTGCTTGGTGGCCCACTGGATTTGAAACCAAAAGCAAAGATGAAGGATGTATGGCCCAGAACCGCTTTAGCTCCGCTCACTCACCTGCAAACCAAAACACTCACTGCCATAGAACCGATTCCAATTCACAGGGGCCCTCCGAGCCAGGGTGGAACCGCTTCTGTGGGGTTCCGAGACATAACTCTTTATGGGGATAGGAAGCCTCGTCTCCTTTCAGAGGGGCAGCTGGTGGGTTTGAATTGCTGACCTGCAGTTTAGCAGCCCAATGCTCAACCAGCTGAGCCACCAGGGCTGCTCCTGTCAGCTGCAGGCCAAGTAAACCCAGAACAAGCCGGCACTGGCAGCAGCAAACGCTAGTGGAATCCTGGAGAGGGACTTAGTACTCAGCATTTCTGCCCACAGTGTCACAGCAGGGTGACTCGGGTCTCATGGGGAGGGACTTTCTGTCAGGTCAGACAATGGGTCCACAGGTGGTGCAAAGGGTTTGTGCCTGCTGACAAGCCTATAGGCTGGTGGCTGGGACCCACCCGGGGGACCACAAAGGCTTCTACAAAGATTACAGCCGAGGAACCCCCACGGAGCCGTGCTCCTTGGGCCGAGAGAGTCCGAGCCCAAGCCCAAGTCAGAGTCAAGAGTCAGACGACTCCACGGCGCTGGCATGGTTTGGATTTGGGGTTTTTTAGTGGAGGCGAACACTGTGGAGAGGGGCTGGGAACAATGTGGGGACCACACATGCAAAGAGGAAAGGGCTTCAGGAACTTGTAAAGCCCAGAGGGAGAAGGCAAAGCCAGGCAGAAAAACTTGCGGGAATGACGCTGTCAGAGCATCCCTGCTGGTAAAGAAACAAAAATGACTCTGAGAGTCAGATAGGACACGCTGTAATTCTGTGTTCAAGAAAATGCCTGTTATCTTCATAAATCACCCTTCAAACATCACTTCTCATTTGGCAGGAAGTCACAGGGCTTACTGACTTCACCTTCCACCTAACGGTGGGTTCTGTTCAAATTCAAGTCACAGTTGCGTTCAGGATTGAATCTGGAAAATCGACTATGGAAGGAGGCTGAAAATGACCAGTAGGCCCAGAGGGCAAGAGGCACCCACAGTAAAGAGAGGATGCGGATGGATGTTCCAAATGTTGTTGTGGTCATTACATAATCTGGTGTCAATTTGAGACTCTTCAGAGTGAAGGAGTGTAGTGTAGCCTATCAATCAGGTTGCAGCTTGTTGACCTCATGTGGAGGAAATAAACAGCTCACTGGAGGCCAGAGAGACTCCTGCTGACAAGACACATGGAGCTCCACTAGACCTCTGAAGCTGGAGAAGCCATGTGGAGACTCCTGGCAGCACTGAGATGCTTACAACGCCACTGGATCCACAAGACCTTCCGCCCAAGGGCCTGTAATCTTCCTGCACTCGGATGACTGCATATGCTTCATGAGTCTGAAGAGGAATTTACAGATTGGTATCGGACATATGGGCTAATATCAGACTTATGGACTTGATCTGGACTGGGCTGGGATGTTTTCTCAATATTCAATTGCTCTTATACATAAAGCTCTTTCTTATACACATGAGTGTCTATGAATTTGTTTCTCTAGTCTACCAGGACTAACACAGTTGTTATTTATAATGTTCTGGGCAGAGCTGCAGGAAGTGAGCGCCAATCAACAAAAATGTACGATGACGATCCTATTGCACGTTTATGACAGAACAGGGCACCAGCCGAGCTTTCAGTTGGCCAGCAACATCCTACCACCAAACTCCTGTTGAACAGGGCGCTGGGGCGGGAAGGGAGGGTGGCAGAGACCTGTCACACACCCGTCTGAAAGATAACCACCACCGCTCAGGTGCCCAGCCGATTACAGACCTCGGCAAAACCGAGGGGGGCACACCTCTGCTGTTCCGAGTGAGGAACTTGGCACCTGAAGCGCAGGTAGATGCCCTTGGATAACACGGTCAGTGAGGGAAACTGCTATTTTACACACTAATGAAGCTGACCCCGGAGTGCTGGCGGCACAGTGGTTAAGCGCGGGGCTACGAAGCACAGATCAGCAGTCTGGAATCACCGGCCGCGGCTCTGGAGAAAGACGAGGCTTTCTACTCCTGTGAAGAGTTCACGTTTCGGAAACCCATCAGGAGCCGTCCTACCCCGTCCTACAGGGTCGCTGAGACAAGAGTGACACAGGGCAGGGAGTCTGCAGTTTGCGGACCCAGGTGACTTTGAACGCGCCCCACCAGTAGCCACAGGGGATCTGGCCACACCGGGAAAGTTACCTCAAATTCGAACTTGGAACTGCCAAAGTTGGTCCTCTGTTTCTGCCAGAAGTTATCGGGCTTGATGATCAGCGCCACGTGGATGCAGCAGGGGAAGGACTCCTGCAGGATCTTCAGGAGGGGCTTGATGGAGTCCCACTTGGACCCGCGCATGTCCACGATCACGGTGAACCCTCGCTTGCAGACTTCCTCGCTGCAGGGGAAGAACGCACAGGGTGAAGCCCGGCACACCCACACGGCTTCCAGTCGGAGGCCCTCCCCTGCCCACACCAACACGTCACCACCTGCCAGCACTTCGGGGAGATGGGACGGTTCTCCAAACACAAATCAGAGAAGAGCGCTAACCGGCCTACGGAGCAGATCTGTCCTGTCCTGTTGAGCTGGTCTGAACCAGAATCCACGCCGCCACCACCACCCCTACCCCTAGGCTACCTCAAAGGAGCCCTGGCAGAGCAGCTGGGTTAAGCCTTAAGCTGCTCACC